TCTCCAGGCCCTGATCCTGGATGGTGTCAATCATGCAGGTCTCTCCTCCTCTGGGGAGGAGAGAGTAAAGTAGAGAAAATAAACATTTTCTTTTCAAGGCTTCGAAGAGTGGGGGGATCTTTTATCATGAGCCAGTGGGGTGCACCAGGGGAGAAAAAGAACAAATGAGCACTATTTCCTGATCATCCACCCCCTTGTCACCACTCAAGTTAGTGACAACCTTAGCAATTTCCCCCCAGAAAAGGGCATAAGATTTCAAGAGAGAGACTTGCAGGATGTGGTGAGCTGAATTGGGGAGCAGGTGGTGATGGGAAAGAAGAGCAGAAAATAATGTGTGAAGGCTTCTCATAAGAATTCCCTCAGTAGTGGGTCATGTCCTCCCTCACCCTGGCCCTAACCGATCCCTGCCTGCTACCAAGTATCTTAGCAATGTTTCAACATCCCAAAGGGAAAATCTAAACGTGAAAGAGAATAAACAAACTGTGAAAGATTTATCTCATGGCAAATAAACACTATTCATAAAGATTAAAACTAGAATGAAGATAACTGATTAGCACAACCGCCTGGGAAGTTCTACCTTAATCATCTTGGCCAGTTCCTTTCAGTCCAACCACACTGGGCCAACAGGGCAAAGGGGTGCAGAGGAGAGAGAGCCTAGCGGCTCTAAGTTTGGGTTTTATATGTGATACACCCCTTGGACCCCACATGTTTGGAGTGAAAGATATTCACCAAAAGCATAGTGAAGTAGAAGGAGCACCAAAAAAGGTGTTAGGAAACATGGGTTCTCGTCCCACGTGTGTAACTTGCTAGCTGTGTGACTTTGGGCAGGACAGCCAGTTTCCCTTTGTTACCACGTTATTGCATCTGCAAAAGGATGGACTAGAAGATGTCAAAAATGTTTTCTTAATTTTAATTTTATGTATTATTTTCAAGTCTATCAAAAGTCAACAAAACATAAAAACTGCTGTTATTCGACATGAATAGAGGGCTCTGCTAGGTTTATAAAATCTCATTTAATCCTCCCAACAGCCCTATGGAGTAGGAATAATTATCCCTATTAAACAGGTGAGGAAGGTTGAGCTCTAACAGGTCACCTGATTTGCCCAGGGTAACTGGGAGAGGGAGGATTAAATCCCATAGCTTACTCCAAAGCTCGCTCTGCATTTTACGATGCACTCCTTTAAAAATTAGAGCATTTGAAAAACCTGTCCGTTTTTTGAAACCACTCCATGGACCTTACCCAAATTCCTGGGATCCTCATGAGCTATCTTTTTTCAGTCCCATTTTTCAGATGAGCCAACTGTCACTCCCAGAAGCAGAATTGCCCAAGGTCATCACAGTTGTTAGAATCAGAGCTGGAATGTCTCCCACATGGGCTGCACTGTCTAAGGCCGCTCCTTTTCTCTGAGGCAGACCACACTTGGCCACTTCTCCTGGAGCCTGTTATTCCTCAAAGAAATCCCAATCACTGGGGCAGGCATTCTGTAGCTCCTGACTCAGGAGGACAATCCCATTCATTTCCTGGGATGGAGCTATCTGAGATAATTCTTTGACATAGTCATATCTTCAAGAGGCAGTGTTTACTGCCCCTTTGATTAAATCCATTAGCTATTCAGACACAGCTGCCCTTCAGAAAAAACAGTGTGCTTCCAAAAGCCACACATTTGGCAGCTAAATGATTCTGGGCCAAACCAGAGCAATCTAACCCATCCAGCAAATAGTGATAAATGTGAGCAAAGCTCACAATATCAGAGTTGGAAAGGAACTTGAAATCATGAGAAGTACAAATCCTTCCCTTTACAGATGGGTAAACTGAACCTTGGTAGCAAGAAGGGTCTCCCCAAAGTCAAGTAACGCCAGAGCCTGGGTCAGAAAGTCCTTCTGACTCAGAATTTAGTGTCTTTCCATTTGAATACTGGGGATCTCAATATTCCGAAATGAAATTCCATTATGATGTGGGCTGGGAACTGGAAAAAATTATCAGCATTACCCCTCACTTCTATAGAAGGATATGCAAGTTTCAAACCTCTTTCATGTCCCTTGTTTAATTTCATTTTCACAGCAATGCCATTGAGTTGGTTTTTTTGTTTTGCTGCAGCAATAAAAATGCCTAAATCAAAGTGGCTTGTAAAAACAAAGATGTATTTCTCGCTCATATACATGTCCAGTATGGGCTGGCCATCACCCTGCTCCACAATATTTTTATTCTAGGATTCAGGCTGACAGAGTAGCCCTAACTGTGCCATGGCTGGTTGCCATGGAATATACTGTGTCTCCCAAAAGATACTGCAGTCTTAACCCATCAGCACCTGTGAATGTGACCTTATTTGGAAATGGAATCTTTGTAGTTGATCAAGTTAAGATAAGGTCACTAGAGTGGGCCCTAATCCAGTATGACTGACATCCTCATAAAAGGGGGAAATTTGGACACAGAGACAGACACACAGGGATAACACCATATGAAGATGAGGTAGGGATCAAGCCAAGGAATGCCAAAGATCGCCAGCAAGCTACCAAACAGCAGGGGAGAGTCATGGAACAGATTCTTTGTTACAAACCTGGGAAGAGCAGGGAGGGTATAGCTCAGCGGTAGAGAGCGTGCTTAGCAAGCACAAGGTCCTGGATTCAATCCCTAGTACCTCCATTAAAAATACATACATAAGTAAATAAACCTAGTTACCTATCCCCCAAAAAATTTAATCAAAAAAACCTAGGAAGAAACCAGTCATGCTGACACCTTGATCTCAGACCTCCAGCCTCCTGACTGTGAGACAGAGATTTCTACTGTTGAAACCACACAGTTTGTTGTAGGTTATTAATGAGCCTAGCAAACTAATAGACCGATCTTGTTGCAGAGAGAAAAGAGATGACGGCGAAGCACAAGCCACCTCCCAAAGCTTCTGCTCACATCCCCTTGGCCCTAAGGGTATCACAGAGCTAAGCTTGATGTCAATGGGTGGGAAAAATGACCCCCTTATACAAGGAGTGTCCCCTTAGGGAGAGGCAGCCCCGGGAGGGGCAGAGGATATTTTGAAAAATGATACCATCGACCACTGCACCTTCATCGCTTTCGACAGAAAGGTAGTGAGGTTCCTTGAACTGAGAACCACTGAAGTGTCCCAGTCAAGTAACTGGTGGCATCAGCGTGTGATCCCAAGTGTTTTGCTCCAAGTTTTAGGCTCTTTCTACCACCTCCCCAAGGAATCCTAACAATAACCAAGCCAGGTCACCTGTATTGACCTCTATCCTGGAAGTGCCAGCGTGAGTCTCCTTCCTAGTATCAGTCACTTGGTTAAGGATCATAGGATTATCTTCCAGAAATAGAGTAATTTGGTCCACACCAGAGTCCAGCACGAGTTTTTTCTTTTGAGCTTGATTATAGCCCCTCATCAGAAAACCATGTGAGCTATTTTCCTGTGCAAACACATGTGTGAAACCAGGACAGCGATTTAGTTGTTGTCTTATTAAACAGTTTTATGTGGAGTTGCCGGGGAAGAGACACCTTGAAGAACTTACCATGAGCCTCGGAACCCTGCCAGCTCAGCCCTTCCTGCTCACCACGTTCTGAGAACCAGGGGTTCATCTGGCCGGTGAGGTCAGGCCTGGCCACTGCAGCATGTAAGCCTGTAGCACAAAGACCTAGGAGGTCGGAGCAGGAAGGGGCCTCGTCCATAGTGTGACCAGTTGTCCCAGTTTGCCTGGGACTGAGGAATTCCCCAGGCCATGGGACTTCAGCCTGGAAATCAGCATAGTTAGTGACCCCATGCTTCAGTCCCCTCGTGAATCCAGATCAAGAGTTTTACAGATGGGAAACCCAAGACTAGAGGGGGAAGGACTTGGAGTTGGAGATCTAAACTGGAAGGGGACACTGACATCACGTATTTCAATGTTAGGGAACCTGCCCACTGTGGAGGTGCTGAGGGGGAGCTCCTGGAATCAAGAATTTCAGTTTTAAAACTAGATCAGTCCTGAGAAAACTGAGAGAAGTTGGTCTCACTATCTAACAATGTCTTATTTTACAAACAAACAGGAAAACTGAGACCCTGAGAAAAGTGAGTTGTCCAAGGTCATGCGGAGGTAGATGGCTGACTGGGAGCAGGAGGTTTCCTCACTCCCAGGCTGGGGTGCTTTCTGCAGGATAATGGAGATTTTTATCTATCAAGTGCCTATTCATTCACATTATTCGAGCAGGCTTTCAAATTTAGTTTGAACTGCCTGAAAAGCCTGGAAAATGCTCCACACAATGGGGGAGTGGTTCCAAGAAGTTCCTTTTTCTAAAAGCAGCTTGCTGAGACCAGAGGAGTGCCACCTTGCTCTGGGCCTCAGGGTCTCTCTTATCTAGGATTTCCAAATTCAGGAGGCCACCTCAGTGCAGTGTCCCAGATACATTGGTCACTAATGGAGAAGAAGTTAAACTCCTCCCTTCTTCTCCCATAACTGAAATCACTCACCCTCTTCAACTGCTCAGTTTGACCAAACAAGCAGAATGCAGACAGCTCCAGCTCCGCACACTGGCCTCAATGCCAGTGGGGGTGCTCTCCTTATCTGACCCAGATGCTTGCCGCAGTTAGCACATCTGGATGCCAGCCTCTACTCCAAGACCGCAGTCCCTAATGGTGTGCACTGTCTAGATTCCCATGAGAAGACTCTAATTTTGTAGTGGAAACAGTATACACTGTGGAGCTAGCAAGAGCTGGGCTTGAATCCCTGCTCTTCTACAAAATGGCCATTTGGCTTTGATGGTGCCACTAAATCTCTGTGGGCTTCAGTTTTGTTATCTACAACTTTGTTCTAAAGACTGAAAACTAATCATTGTAGAGCACCCAATAGAGTACTGGACCCATAGTAGTTGGGTAATAAATGGCAAATTTGTTTGTTTATTTTTCAATGATGTACTGTAATAAGCAGTTGTCGGATTTCAGAGTCATCTCTGGATCTAAAATTCCAACTTATTACCATTACGGCCAGAGTAATGTACTTAAAATTTCTGGGATTCTTAGCATCTTTGAAATGAAGATGATAGAGCATAGCCCTCACTCTGCAAGACCACTGTATTTGAGTTACTGCAAAATGTGCACCAAAAATGTAGCTGTCATTATAGATGTTATCAAGATGTGGTTAGGTGAGAACATAAACTTTCTTTTTCTGCATTTAACCACCTTTCCTCTTCAACAAGTTCCCAAAGAAAAAGTACATACTGAAAACAGTAAATGCCAAATAAACACTGTGACTTTGAGGTTCCCACCATCCCAAATTCCCAAGGCAGGACCATGGAGAGTTCCTGTGTTCTCAGTCAGGAAGAACAAGCCTTTTTCTTTTTGATTTTTCCCCTAAGAACTGGCGCAGAGCATTTTTCTGAGATCTCCTATATATCTTTTTTTTTTTTTGTATACATTTATATTTCTTCTCACTTTTTTTAAATTCATGGTTCATATTATCAACTCATATTGGTTTGCTGCATTTAACAAGAAAACCTTACAAAACATTGATTAAACAAGTCAGAAATCTATAAAATAAGTCAAGATGCAGGCAATTCAAGGCAGTCTTCCCTTTTCAGAGACTGAACCTTTCCATCTTTCTAGGCAGCCATTTTCAGGACGGCTTTTCATCCTCAAGAATTTCCCATGGTAACAAGGTAGCTAAGGTAGCTACTGGGTCTCCAGCTACCATCTCTGGATTTCATACAGAAAGAATAAAAAGAGGGTCAGGACAAAAGCCCCATTCTGCTATCACCAGGCCCATAACCCCCTTTCTTTAGCTGCAGAGAAAGCCAGGAAATGAAGCCCTTTTTTTTGGGTCTCAGTTTCTGAACTACTAAAATGAAACATCAGGCTATGCGATGCCTACGTCCTCTTCTAGTTCATAATATTTGCAATAAAAAGACTGCATTTCCTGGCTTTATTTGTAGCTAGAGAAATATATCTTTATGTGAGTGGCACATAAAGGCACATACATGAGGCAACAGAAAAGTGGAACTTTTGGAGAACCCTCCCAAGGGGTTTGACTCAGATGGGAGAACCTGAGCTAGATACATTTTTGCTCTGTATAAGATGAGGGTTCTGTTGGTAAGCAAGAAGGGACAATAGATATTGAATAAGCAACTCATGGTTTCTGCCATATAAAATAATTCTGCTATAATAATATTATATAATTGTTGTTTTATAAAGAGTTACTTTCCAAAGGCATATCTACCTCCACCCCTACCTCTGTTGCTTTTAAAAATACCACACTAGTTTCCTACTATGACCAAAACCGGTCACTGCATTCTCATTCTTTGGCCTGAAACCTATGTAAGATCAGTTGAATTTGATCAGCTGAATTCTCCTTTGTGATCTGACTATAAAATTATGTCCAGTTGGTGGAGCATGTCCGCTAGGTCATCTATGTTTGCACAGATGTAGAACTGCATGGGTTTATAGTTCACATAGCACATAATTGTTTCCATTTGTTCTTTGTAATTATTTCACAACGTTTACTTTGATCTGTTCTAGAGATGGAAAGCTCCTAGACAAAAATCTCCCCCATCCCAAAATAACACATTCCCAGTAGAAGCACAATCACCCAGCCCAGTCTGAACTGGGTCTGGTCTGGCTGCTTCACTAAATTCTCTGCCTTATTCAATATCCTTCTACTGTTACCTTAAAACATCCCAATTGTAACACTGGATAGATGATTTTTTTCTAACAAATGATTTATTTTTGAAGTACAATAGTGTAAGTAACCCATAAAATAAAATAGACTGTACAAATAGCCTATTTTATATATAAAACTTCAGAAACAGAATAGTGCAACGTCTATAAATAATATTGCCCAACAACCATGAGATGGTTTTTATTATCCTCCCGTTATCCTCCTGATTTTAAACATGATAACAATCAAGACTGAAAAAGTTAAGTGACTTCTCCAAGACTGTGACTCCATGCCCTCTCTCTTCGCAGAAGATCTGAAAATTTTGAGCTCATTCAGCTTCGGTCTTTTTCTATATTTGTTGTTATAATGCGAATCAGGCACTTTTGACAATCCCTGTTTATGAAAAATGACTCATAGTTTTTAGCAAAAATGCCAAGTCCAACTGTGTACAGCACAGTATTGGAAAGGGAAAGTTAAATTTATCCTCTAAATGAGGAAACGCAGCAAAAACAAGAATCGCCCTCCAAAAGGATCCGGAATCAATTTCCTGGGTGGTCTCTGCTTAGTCATGAAGGGAGCAAAAAAAAAAAAAAGCCCCACAATAAATGCAAAAGACTTTCAAAGATGGAATGTGCCAGAAATGAACTGAAGATATTTAAGTTATTTACAAAAGACAATAAGCCTCCTTTGTAATGGGATACAGGACACAAAATGTAAAAGTGACTAGTTCTGTGGACCTACAAGTTGAGTCATGTCCTGAATCCTATCAAGTTGCTTTTCAGTCACCCTGCAAACATTTCCCTCTTTGGCTCAATCAACAGCATTGATTAAGAACCTACTGTGTACCCAGTCTCGTGCTGCGGATGGGGACAGGATCAAGGCAAAGATCGGATCAGCGATATGGTTTCAGGGCTCCCAGGAGCCTCTTCCGTCTCCTCCAAGCCCTCTCCAAAATGCCTTCCCCAACTTTATTCCCTTCTGAATTTAAGTCTATCTTTAGAGATGCCATGATTTACATCAATGCTCACCCTCATGTTAAGCGCTGAGCTCTGTGGACAAAAGCCAGACTTGAATCTCTGTGAGTCATTTGGCTGTTGGTGTGAACGTGTTTATTGAGAAGAGAGGAAAGGAGAGAGAGCCTGGGGCACAGTGCCCCTCTTCAAGGGCTATTCCAGAAGCTGCCGTTAGGCTCTCTGCAGATACGACCTGCCCCTGCACACCTGCATCTCTCAACACTAACCAACAGCTTCCAGGAGGCACGATCCTTCTTTGGGTACAACACCACAGCCTATCTGCAGGGGTCCCAGCGGTGCCACCTGCTTTGAAAGCCCCTCCCCAGCTTCCTCATCACTTGTACCACAAGTGATACACACACACTCCTGGGTGTGCCCAGTCTGGGGGACACCTCCTCCCAGGTACAGAAACATTAAGGTCCATTTCTGATACATCATTTTTCAATTTTAAAAGAATATTCTTTACTATTATGTCATTTGAGCCACACAACAATCCCATGCAGAATGTATTACAGATTCTATTTTATGGATGTGGAAGCCTAGGCCAGGAAAGGATGTCCAGAGAAAGACTGGCCACAGGTCACCCAGGTTGGTTCTGCCTTTCCTAACCTTCGCTACATCATCCTGCTTGTTAAAAAAAAAAACAAAAAAACCAACATTTTTACTTTTACATTTTTATAAAGATATTTAATCTACTCCCAAAGATTTTTCAAACATTATCTCACTAAATCCATCTGATTAGGGCATTTTTTTTTCTTTTACTTCTTTTCAAAGATGTTCTTAGGCTGCACTTTTCCCTTGAACTGATGGATGTGCCCCTTAAAGAAACACAGGGAGAAGGCAGACACAGAAGGCGAAGTCTCTTTTGATAAAACACACACAAACAGATAATCAGATGCACAAGGAAAATTGTGTGGTAGGAAGGGTGTTGGCTGGGACATAGTCCCCTGTGACTGGATCCCAAATTCAACACTTGTCGGCTTAGACCAGTCAGACGCTCTGAACTTTCTTCAAAACTATGACATTATGATAAACGTGAAGATGTTTTTAGGCACTATGCACAGGTCAGGGATTACAACCGTCACAACAGCGTCCAGGACGGGCACGGCTTGGAAACTTGGTCTCTATTCATCCCCACAAGTCCCAGCATAAAGTAGGCCCAGTAAGTGGTTTCCAACAAGTGATCAAATGCACAAATGATTTACATGCTGATCGGCCCAGAGGGGCCTGACTGGTGACTGGGAGAGAGTGTTTGACAGGCAGGTGAGGGGAGGGCCCCCTGTTTGGAGAGCAGTCTCCCACATCCTTGAGGCCCTCCGCCCACTTTGGAGGAGACAGAACTGATGCTCAGAGAGATGGCTAAGGGCCATCCAGGACTGGTGATTGGAGGAGGTGGGATTTGAGTCCAGGTTAGTGTGATGCCAATTTTCTTGCTCATTCTCTGCATTTCACTGGATGCTGGAGTGAGGAATTTAGATTTATGGCCCTAACTCGGTCGCTGGCCGTTTTTCTCCCACACTCTACTTATTACAGGATTTGGAGCTAGGATTAAGCGTTCCCCAGGTTCCTCACGAACATTTCCTGATTTGATTCTTCCATCTCTACTGAAAACCCTCAGCTATTTGATGCAAATAATTTCACCTACTGTAGTTCCCTAAAAGGTCACCCTTGACCTCCAGGTCACTCCCTTCTACACACTGAAGACTTCCGGGTCATTCTTCCCTCCACTTCTACTCCCACCTTCGTTCATGTGATTTCAAAATATGGGCAGATGATCAAACCAACACACTGGTCTCAACTTCTTGCCTCCAAAACTCCGTTTCTACTTCATTCTCACTCACTCCCATCATGACACCTTTAGACTATGTCACTGTTGATAACAAACTTCTTCGAAAATTTCTATTTTAAGTCTCCCAATCTCTGTCTACATAGCTCCCCCCACCCCGCCCCCACCACACACAATACCTCCTTTACTAGCCTGACTCCAAAAGCTCCATGAGCCCAGCAAGATCTCTAAGCAACTGACCTTATCACCTTTTCACAGTCTTTCTACGCCTCATGTCCTCCTGTCCCCTCACGTCTGGTTTTGATTTCTGACCCATCACTTCAGTTCTCTTGCACAAACTCTCAACCCTCTTGTACTTCTCTCTCTAGGCTTGGCAACACAACATGACAGCCCTGGTTAAGCCCAACTCTCATTCTACTTTATACTCACATTCAAACAGCTAAACAAAACTAGATTGGGAAAGAAAAAAAAAAACCACATCCACATTCATGCTACTGGATCTCGATTTAAATGCATGATCACAAACTTCAAGTGAGCTTTCAGTGCAGCCCCAAACTCAAATACATTTCGTGGGTGCTCTCA